GCAGACGAGGCTGAGGGACCCCACTGGTGAACAATCGGGGCCGGGGAGGTACGTGGGAGGTTGGCCAGCAGGGGAGGGACTTGGGGAGGGCTCCAGGATGTGTCCAGCCCGTCTCGCTTAGTCCCGATTGTCCGGACCCCAGCAGCAAGCTAACCTACCAGTCGAAGCATCTGCCCCCTGGTGGTCAGTCACAGTGAGCGGTTGAGCAGCCTTAGCATATCATTAGCATACTATGCTTTGATTGGTTGAACAGATGACGGACAACTGGATGCTTAGCATATTAGGCTTTTATTATACAGGATTAATCCCATTATGAGGGCCCTAGTCTCATGACCTCATTGGAACCTAATTAACTTCCAAGGTTTCCACTTCTAAATACTATTACAGTGGAGATTAGAGGCTTCAACATATGAATTTTGGGTGGGGATACAATTCAGTCCATAGCACCAAGTAATTGGAAATAGCAGTTACTTCTGGACCAGGAAGGAAAACAGGAGTGAGGCAATAGGACTGTAAAGGTGATTTTTTATCACCTTTACTCTTTATTCCTCTATAATTCTTCAATTCTTCAACATCAACTAGTGTCCAACAAGTTATTCAATTTTGACACTATCTACTTGGAGTAAGCATCAGAACCCACAGTTAAGGGGCTCAGTCCCACAAGACGGCCCTAACTTCAGATGTCACAGGTCGTGGGCACCTGGGCTTCTGACAAGCCAAATTGGGGGTTCCTGCGACTCACTCTTCCGGTTGGATAATTTGCAGAATGGCTCACAGAACTCAGGAGAACACTTTATTTACATTTAGCAGGTTAATATAAAGGATGCCAATATGCAGCCAGGTGAAGTGACTAGAAGGGTCCCGAGTGCAGGAGCTTCTTTGTCTGTGGAGTTGGGTTGCACCCCCTCCTGGCATGTTGGATGTGTTCCCCAACCTGGAAGCTCTCCAAACCCTGCTCAGGGATTTCTATGGAGGTTTCATTACATAGGCCAATGATTGATCAAATCATTGGCATTGGTTACTGAACTCGATGTCCAGCCCCTCTTCCCTCCCCCTATGTGCCCTGACCAGGAATCGAAGTGAAGACCTTTTGATGACACTCAACCAACTGAGCCACTTGATTTGATTTATGTTGTGGCATTTCTTCCTAGTGTAATTAGAAAGAGCGGATGAAAAGTCCAACATTTTCCCAATCTTTTTCAGTTAACTCTCCTTTTGGTGCTTTGAAACAATATAGGACCTTTTTTTATTTTTATTTATTTTATATTTTATTATTATTTTTAATTTCTTTATTGATTAAGGTATTCCATATGTGTCCTTATCCCCCCATTACTCCCCAATCCCCCCTCATGCCCTCACCCCCCTAACAATATAGGATCTTGACTGGTCCCTGTGGTCCCCACCTTCCCTCCTAGGTTAGCCTCTCCTTACCACTTGTCTTCTCCAGCATTTCCCACCGTAAGTCTTTCCAGTTAGCAGGAATCAACTTTTAAAAACCCACTCTAAATTGTTTATTACTCTTTGATTAGTCAGCCCAGGAGTATGTGCATTTATTTCCAAAGAAAGTGTCTCTGTGACTAGTAGGTGAGGGAGGTATTTTGGGACTGGCCTTTCCTCTCCTTTTCAAATCCTTTCAACTGCAGATTTGTTTTTACTTTTGTGCTCAAGTTTCCACCAAGGGAGTTGCCTTTGCCTTACGGTTAAGGTAACATCTCAGAGACAGCCTGCAGCCTGCAAGATCCGGCCGGTCTCGAAGTCATCAGATTCCATTCTTCTTCTTTTTTTTAAAAAAAAATATATTTTATTGATTTTTTTACAGAGAGAAAGGGAGAGACAGTTAGAAACATCGATGAGAGAGAAACTTCAATCAGTTGCCTCCCGCAAACTCCCTACTGGGATGTGCCCGCTGCCCTTGACCGGAATGGAACCTGGGACCCTGGAGTCCACAGGCCGACGCTCTATCCACTGAGCCAAACCGGCCGGTTAGGGCCAGAACCCATTCTTGATGTTCTCTCTTGTAGACTCCCGTCTTGGAGGTCAAACTGTGGGGCTTCTCTGAGAAAACAACATCTGTGACCCAGAGTGGAGTCCAGAAATGTACATACGGGGCCACCTAGCATGCTGAGGAGAGATGAGGAGCTAAGCCTGAATCCCGGCCTTCCACGCACCTCTGGTGACGCGGGGAGGGGGCTGCCGCAGACTGAGTCACGAACGTTTGAGAGCCGTGGTTCTAGGCAGCCGTCCTGCAGATGCCGGTTCCGGCCGAGCCCGAGCCGCGCCGCATTCCCGCCTTGGGGTGTCGGTGAACCCCTCCACAAACGCCCTGGCTTCCTCCGGAGCGGCGGCCACGCGACCTCTGGGGTGTTCAGGGATGGACCACGGCGCGTTGGGAAGAGGCCCTGGTGGCGGGGAGAAGCCGCGGCTGCTGGGCGAGGGGCTGGGCGGTGGGCTGGTGCGCGGAC